ACACACACACACACACACACACACACACACACACACAGAATCCACTATAATGTATTCAGACAAGAGAATATATGTTCCCAGAAAACCTAAGTAACAGAATTTTATAAACAGTCCAACATAACTCCAGAAACTAAAAGCAAATTTGTTCCCCAGCTGTTCATAGGTATTGGCACAAGGAGGTCTCAGCACTATCCAACAGCTTCCACCTGGCACTGTCAAAAACCATTAGCTCGTGAATGATACATGGGCATAGAGTAGCTACCATGTTCTTTACAACTCCTATAATTTACACTCACGTTTCAAACAAATACAAATTTAGACTCATGCAAAGCACATGATATAGGCAGGCACTGTGAAAGGATGATCACAGCAGAGGGGACCATGTGAAGAGAGGCAAGGCTGAAGATAAATTCAAATTTCAAAGAAAGTTGTATGAATTTTAAAAATGGCTAATGGAGAAGTTGAAGAGGAAGGGCTCAGAGAGATGTAGAGAGCTTGAGAACATCAGCATTTAATAGAGACTTCTGAGAAGGGATTCTTGGTTTAAAAAACAGAAAAAGGACCAGAAGGAAGGAGTCTCTAGAAGTTGAGAGAGAAAAAGAATTCATGGACTAGAGAGTGAGCAGCAACAATTACAACAATCACCATTCCAGTGAGGATGTGGAGGGTAAACAAAAATTTTAAGTGACTCTTTGAACCTAAAAAGTCCCTGGTGACCTGCGGTGAGCCTCTTTCTACGTAGCACTGAGGATGAAGCAATGAATGGAGGCCACCCAGTTTCTGAAGTCCATCCTACTCTCACCTTTCCATGCACCTATGCTTGTTCTCTTCTCCAGCCCTTCCAGTGGCTGGCTGACCTCTCTAAGGGTCACCCGGCTCCTCCAGGAAGCCTCCTCTGATGTTCCCAGCCAAGCTCTGTGCCCGTCTCTGGCACTCCATGATGTCCTTGCGCTGTACCTCTATCAACACCCAGCACGCTCCATTGCAGTGGCCTGTTCGGTTGGATGAATCATCCTATTAAAAGAGTAAAGTTTAGCTTATTGTCTTTGTGTCCCTGGCACCAAGAAGAGCGCTTGGCACAGAGTAGGCATTCCAAAGTTTCTGTAAGGAAGGAAGTATAGAGTTATAAAAACAGCGCAATAGTAACTTGAAGGGGTGATACAGACTAGAAGAAGAGAGATGTTGTTTGATTCAATAGCAATGATTGAACACATCTATAGGCAAAAAGTGAGGCAATGGAGAGGAAAAGACTCAAGATAACAAATGGAAGAAACGGAAGATGGCACAAATATGGGGGAGGAGGGATGTTAACACTTCTGGCAGACATTTCTCCATCTGAGACAACAGGGAATAAAAGGGATGGTGTTAAAAACATCCCAAGGTGGACTAGAAGAGGAGTTTGTATAGAAGAGATTCAGTAAGGTGGTAAGTCAGAACCTTTGCCTACACAAAGAGGGTTAGAAATGGAACTGATAGCTTGAGGGAAGGAACGAAGGTCTGGAAAGGCACTGTGGAGACTGGTGAGAAATCAACTGGAAATGAGTTGGTATACAGAAACAATATAACTTCTTTATTCTTCCTTTAAGTATCCAGAAGCCACACCACTGCCAATCCTTTCAGTTTCCCCGCTCAAATCTACCTTTCCCTTCCAGTCAAAGACTCTTCTTGCAAATAAAAATAAAACGTATCCAATTAGTTTTATTCCTAGACTATTACAATTGTGTAACTTGGTATTCCCTTAAGTGCATTCCTCAAAATGTTAATAAATGTACTTATTGAAAAAGGTGATTCATAGTCAGATAAATTTAATAAATGCATACTCTCCCTCAGCTTGGAGTTTCAAAATTCACCACGTTGCATGAAAGCTCTAAGAAATCATACAAAGAAACTTACCTAATTCTAGCTCGGCATGTGTGCAGGTGTTTTCTCAGGTTGTACCTATTAAATGTATAATGGAACACAGTAAGTAAAATCTGTTTTTCTACTGCGTTCCATCTACAAGTGCATACTACAAAATTATTACCATGTTTTAGTCAAGATATGCTAGACTATGCTGTGGTAACAAACATCCTCTGAAGATTAGTAGCTTCATACAACAAATGTTGATCACTGTAGACCTGAATAATTCTACAGGGTAACTGTCCCCCCTACAGGGACTCAGCTGACTGAGGCTTCACCAACCTGTAGCTGAAGTGTCTGAAACAGCCTCCTTGTTACTGTACAAGAGAAAGATGATGTCGGAAAGTCTTCTAGTGACAATTAAATGCTTCAGCCAGAAGTGACATTCGGCTTCTGCTCACAACATACTGGCCAGAACTAGTTACAGTGGCTCAGCCTTGCTGAGGAGGGAGAAGAGTATAAGCCTTCCCATGTGCCCAGACAAGAGGAGAATCAGAGAACGGTAAGCACTCGATGTCTCTACCACACACCACTTCCTCCTTCCCAATCAGTCCCCACAATCTGCTACTTTTACATCCAGAAAACCTCCAACGGTCCCCTCTTTTATTTTACCATCATACCTCACCTTCCTGTTTTTCTCCAATGCCTACCAGTTATTTTCCCAAAATAAAAATGGCATCATGTCATTCACAAAACCTGCTTACTAAATGTGTGTGTGTGTGTGTGTGTGTGTGTGTGGTGTCATTCACAATACCTGCTTACTAAATGTGTGTGTATGTGTGTGTTTATCCTTTGTTACTGCTCACTGCTTATGGTATAAAGTTCCTTATGAGATAACAAGAGCCTTCACAAGCTTTCAGCCCTATCCCTGGCCTGTCCACTTTTAAGTTCTGACACCTTCTGGAATATGTCTTACTCTGATTTTAATTGTAATGAGTCAGACCTTTGTGACTGCTCACTGCTTATGGTATAAAGTTTCTTATGAGATAACAAGAGCCTTCACAAGATTTCAGCCCTATCCCTGGCCTGTCCACTTTTCTTTTAAGTTCTGACACCTTCTGGAATGTCTTACTCTGATTTTAATTGTAATGAGTCAGAAATCCCAGAACAGAAGAAAAATTGGCTTAGGATTTCAGTGGCCCTTTATTTCTTGTCAAATGCAAGCAGTGTCTGCAGCCCTGTGGCTTAAGGCTGGGCCTTTGGGAGTTTTAGGGTCCTGCACTCCAGAACGAGCTCTGATCCCTTGGTGATTCTCAGTCGAGCAGGTCAGGGGAGGTTTTGGCACAGACTGCTGCAGAGTTTCTGCAGGACAAATCCAGGGCATCCCACCAGCAAACGAGGGTGATATGCCTCCTCATTATTGCCTTCCTTGTAGCAAAGGTTGTGGTCCATAGTGAACTCACCTTGGACCTCCAACCGTGACAAACTCCACAAGAGCTCACCTGAGAAGCAGGTAAGATTTCACTTCTCTTCCACTTCCTCTTCACTCCACGACATGTAAAAGTGCATGTCCCAGGAGAAGCCCAGCAGGGTTCCTAAATACAGAGGCTTCATTCGAATATTGTCCCTTTTACCATAAGGAAAGGCAGCACAGTCTTATAGGGAGGTTCCAGAGGCCATGCTTAGCATGACATAAAGAGCAGTCAAAATTTTATCAGCACCCCCTCTTTCCATAAGAAAGGAGAATCGTTCTATGTCTAGTGCCAGGTGGTTTAGGCTCCAGATGGGGATTTTTCTCTAAGGATCTTCTACAAATGTATACCTACAAATAAATAGCCACAAAGATTATTCTAAGTCCCCAAAATAGCCATTTTCGTTCTGCCATGCTTTTATTCACGCTACTGTCTCTTTCATATGCCTTCTCTAGCCAACAACCATTCCTCAAGGGATAGATCAATGTCAGCTTTGCTAACCCCCTTCCCAATTTCCCCAGAAAGAACTAAACCCCTGCCTGGCCCCCATTTGCTGGGTTCTCACTGCATTTCATCAATTCTTTTATCACACTGGCTCACTATATTATAGTTATGCACATAATATCTCCCCTGCTAATCTGTGAACCTCTTGAAGATAGAGAATGCTCTTTTTTTATTTTTTTAAGTTTCACAGCCTTATATTCAGTGGAGATTTAATAAATGTTAACTGACTAAAAATTTAATTAACTTAATGTTTTCTGCCAACCTAATTGAAATAGTCTGTCTTACTTGTACTCACAATGACTTATTAAAAATGGACACCACTGATCGTATATTACTTTAATAAACATAACTTTAACGATCAAATTGTTTATTTTATGAACATTACACAATTTAAACATCTCGCATTTTGGTTTTGGTGTCTATCCTCTAGCATACTCTGAAAAGCTTAAATGCTGTATGGAATAAAATGGAGATGGCTCACCCGTCAATTTTTAAGTACTTAATCAATTATATTTAAGGAATAAAATAATGACTTAGTTTCTTATAAAGCTGCAAAATTAGCTTTATAGATGAGGAAAATCACTGCTTTGAGATATGGTAAAAAAATTAGTATCTCAGGAAAGGATATGTAATTTAATAAAAAAACTCAAGAGCCTGTGTGTTTTGGTGAGAAAAAAATCAGTGGAGCACACCATTTTGAATGTTCGTATTTAAATCAGAATAACCCTACCATAGAAATGGAAGCTCAAGCAGTTTGGATATGAACAAAGATACTGAAAAGTAAAATAAATCAATCCTATAAGGGTATCAAAAAGCACATCAGGAAAGAGGCTGAGGTAGGCAGAGTTCCAACCACTCATCCTTAGCCACTTACCCCTGATGACCTACAAGGAATTATTGATGCTAGCAAGCCGCTGGTCACTAAACGTTTGAAATAAACATACCACTAGTTATTGTCCACTTTAGAAGAATGCAGTATAGTTCAATGCACAAAGCACCAATGCTGATTGACAGAACTATTCCCAACTCTGTGGACATATTTTAAGTAGCAAGTTTCCTGGTGTTTTTAAAACATAATTTGACTTACGTAAATTTTCAAAACCAAATCTCAAGCAAGGAACTGTGTGTCCTTTACTCTCAGGTCAGAGACACTAAGAGTAGAGTGATACAATTGCTACAGGGCCACATATAAGTACAAGGTATTGATCAGAAGTGCATCAAATACAGCTGCTTTCCACAGCAATTTAACTGCCAAAGTGGAGGACATTAGCTCTCCACCGAGTGACAGCACAAATCCGAGAACACCGAATGTCCTCGGGTCACCTACGGTCCGGCAATGAGAGGTGCTAAATTCAAAACTGGCTGTAATCTTCATTCCCTTTTTTCTGGAGCGGAAGGAAGTTTCAACCAATTTCACATTTTTCAACTTTTCACAGACTTGATTCGACATCCACGTGACTTTACAAATTATAATTTGGCTGTAGCTGAATCATGCCTCAAAAAAGGACATCCCCGAGTAGAACCAACTGGAACCAATTATGGTGGAATCATCACCACACTAATTTTACCTTTTCACTGATAAAAATTTGCAGCACTTCTCATTTTAGACAAATAGTTCAAATCATAACTTTTCCGGACTATACAGTAACTGTATCATTACTCTAAAAGAATTAGAGAGGGAAAGCCTAAAATGGTAGTCCCTTTTAAAATCTAAGATAGGCTGTTTATGTAAAAGCTGATTTTTATTTCGTTCTAGAAACAACGTTAGAATCTACGCTTGGTGCTCATCCCTCCAATGCAGTCAGGGAAGGGGAGGAAAGGCTGTCCTCCAGGCAAGAGACTTAGTTACCACCTCACCATCCTTGGCTTACTACGCTGTTAGATGTAGAAATTTGCATCATTAAATCAAATGTAATTAGATTTTTAATTCAATTCTACCTTTCACTGAAATGCATATTCAGCCTACATATCCTTCAGAGATTTTACTTAAGACAAAGAAAGTGAAAAAGCATTTTTATGAACTGAATACAGGTATCCTACTTAAAAGTCAGTAGAAATTAAGTAATCAGTGCACAACTTGTTATGCTACTTCCTCAGCACCTCACAGCTAGAAAGGACTGAGTCAATGCCCTAACTTTATAAAAACACCAACTGAGGACTAAAAAGTGAGCCAGCTTTTGCTGGAACCACAAGCTGGTTAGAAGAGCTGAGAAAACCTCACACTGCCTCGTGGAAGTACTAATCTTCTCCCAACATCATGCTGCTCCTTTGTCACTCTGTGTTCAAGTTTTAATCTTTTCATGAATTTATCTTCCCAGCAAGAGTCTAAGCCTCTTCAGGTTAAAACCTCTGCATCTTTTGCCCCTTAGCCCATGTGAAGTATACAGTAAATGTATGATAATGATACAAAGAAAAGTAAATAATTCAAGAGTTGCTATAATCCTAAATGCTCAGACTTGTTCTATAGGCCTAATTAGTGAATTCTGACCCCTATCACTTTTATTATTATCTGTTAAAGATGGATAACACTAACCCCCGCTCAATTGTAAGTCTTAAAAGGCCAAAACTTTGGAAAAGACGAAGCACTCTACATGTGGAACAAAGACCACAAGGAGTGTGCAAGAGTACCCTCCTGAATCAGTACTAACATTCATGCCAGAAATGGAAGCACTACATTTCACCATAACTTTTTAAAAGTAGTCTAAGTTTTTCTATCTATAAAAAGTTAAAAAATGAGATAGAAAGTGATGCTCTTTATCCTCTGTATGGTTCTCAAAATATGGTCTGGCAACCTCTGGAGGTCTCCAAGACCTTTTCAAGGGATACATGAGGTCAAAATGACTTTCAACATAATGCTATGGTGTTGCTTTCCTTTTTCACTCTCATTCTCTCATGAGTATTAGTGGAGTTTACTTGTGAGTGTGACAGTACGAGATTAAATGCAGAAGCAGGTAAGAATCCAGCTGTCTTCCATTAAGCCAGACACTTTAGAGAATTGCGAGAGTGTATAACGACACCACTCTTCTTACTAAATTGGTTTTTGTTTTGGAAAACATGGTTACTTTTCATTAAAAATATTTACGTACTTATTTTTTAATGAATCTATGATATCTTTTAAATTTCTCAGTTTTAATTTCCAATATGGCAAATATTTATGTACAGATGACACAGAAACTCTTCAGGTCAGCTTGAGAACCAATACCTATATAAGAGTAAAAATTAATAAAATTAAATATAGAATTTCTTTATCCTTATTGATTCATATCTACATGTATGTGATTCTTTTTATGTTTTTATTTCTGGACTCTCAATTCTATTGCATGTACACGATTTTAAGTAAGAAAATATTGGCTTGGGGTTGGACAGAGAGAGAAATGGGCCAATTACCTTAGGGGACTTTGAGTTTTTCTATCAAAAGCAAACTGCAAGCTTCAGCATAAAAAAATCCAGTCCATAAATGAACTAAATCATAGATTATGCCTAATTTAATAATGCTTTGTGCAAAGAGAAAGAATTAGTGAGCAGGTGCTTCATAAATATACAAAAAAAAAAAAAACCTACAAAGGAAAGAAAATGAGGTAGAAGGGGGGAAAAAGCTGAACAGGTAAAAGGGCAGAGAAAGAATTGATGATGTTCAGAAATTCCAATGGGTTTTTGAACTCAGTATCTATACACACAGACTTCCCATTGCTAGCCAATCATTCATAAATACCAAGAAATCTACTTTTTCCAGCAGGATCTGTTCTTACTGCTTACCTCCAGCTAAAAGCCAAAAAGCTAGATATATTCTGTGCCCTTGCCTCCCATTTCCCTGAAGGATAGTCTAGATGCAGAGAATACAAAGCCATGCCTCCAACATTTATTGAGCAGATGGATGTCTGAAAAAGTACTGTGATAACTGCTGGATTCCCAGAAATTGAGCACATAATTTGAAATCAGTCTAGAGAATAAAGGTTATCTTTCTTCCATTTGAAATTAAAAGACCTATATTGATTATGTCCCCATTATTTCAGGTATATATATATCTGAGCATCAATGTATATGGCTCTATGTACAGTATTGAAGGAATTAAAATGTATATAAGTAATACCCACACCCTCAAGATTACTGATTAAAAGTTAAATCAATTAAAAAGGAGATGCCACCAATTATCTAGCGAATGCATGATAGCCAGTAAGTACCTTTAGTTCTGGAGAATCATGGGCAGTTCTTCAGAGTAGGGTCTTAAATTAGTCCTTAAGGGTCATTTTTCTAAAACTCATTATTTAATCCTAAATATAAAAAAGAAACAATGTTTCTTAAATCAGTAATCCTGGCCCACTAATACACTACTTTGATAACACTACTTTAAAATAAAGTACATAAAGGACATCTTCTAAAAACAACTTTAATTGTTAACATTAATCTTTTCAAACTATTAAATAATGTCACTAGAAATACTGGACAAAGTTCAATCTGAACATTCTTCCCAGAAAAATCTTCACTTTTCAAATTAAAGTTTATCAAAGATTTATCCACAAGGATATTCTTCACAGGGCTGTTTTTAATAGTAAAAAATTGGTTACCATCAAGGGAAAAAAAATGTATGTTAAAACCATAAATGAAATAAAATGCAGGTATTAAAAATGACAGAGAACAATATGCATTTACATGGAAAAATAGTCACTCCATTTGAAGTGAAAAAACTACTAATCAGTATGTAGAATGATCTCATTTTGTAAATAAATACAAGTGTACTTAGAGATACACAAATTATCAATTGAAGCTAATTATGAGTGATAGAATTTAAGAATAATGTTTATGTTCTTCATAGTACTTATGAGAATCTGACAGTGCCTACAATGAACACACATCAATTCTGTAATGAGAAAAAAAAAGTATATCATTAAAAAAAATTAATTCTATGTTCCTGAGTAATCAATGCCTTCCTGAACCTTGACAGGTTAGTAAACACCTAAAGGTGTTCTAAAGTTCTTCTCACCCCCAGTCAGTGATTGATAGAAATTTTCACAAGGTAAACTTTTGCCTGAGTCCAAAATCTGCTAGGAAAAGGTAATATTCTCAGCATGAGCTTAATTAAATTTGTAGCTGACAAGGTCTCTTAGACAACTAGCAGCACTTTGTCAGCCAAGAAAACAAAACTATTAAAACATAGTTTTTCAACAGGAAAAGGACATTTGGGACTTTGAAGTGATGTGCTCAAGGAAGGTGTTACACTTTTGAATCCCAAACAAAATGATCCTGATAGGAATCTGAGCACACCTGGCTAAACACCCAGGAGTGAGGCCAAAGCCAAGCCTGTCTATGGGGTTTCAACTTGTGGTCCAGGCTCCTTAAGGATCTGGGAATGTAGCACTAGGAGACCTGAGTGATTTTAAGTATTGAAGGGGAAAAAAAGGATAATGAAAAATAGCTTTTTTTTATTGAGAAATTTAAATGAGTCACATGTTTACCGAAACAAAGGTTAATCCTTTGCTTTTAAAGGCTGAAATGTTAGTTCACTCACTACATCCACCCTTCCTTCTGAATAGATAGTATGTGTTTGGTTCAAATTTTTTTTTAAGGGGGCAACTTAATACTTATTTTGTAAAGCTTGCTGGACAAAATCTTTATAAGAGATCCATCCAAGAGAAATAAATTTAAAAATAAAATGGTCCATGATAGTGCGAAGGTTGGGAACCAGGACTGGAGCGAATTTACAGCCCCACTGGAGACCAATGCCACCCCGTGGCACCTCTGAGGCCGGCAAGGCAACAGACAGGGCTCCAGGTGGTATGTGAGGCAGGAAAGCATCGGCATGGCCAGGTGGCCTCTGTCAGTACTGACCTGATGACCTGGGGTACAGGAAGAGGAGGAGAGGCGGGGCTTCAACCATGGCACATGCAATTCCCATCTGAGCACCTAGATATTTTAAAAAAATAAACACCAGCTGCTATAGTCTGAGTTGCCAGTTCTTTTCTTCTTCCCATTTGCTGCTGCACTAAATCACCAACCCGGCTTGGACACCAGGTTCTAACAGGGCAGCATGGCCCCATTATGAATAAGCACAGGGAAGGGTGCCAAGAGGCCATCTAATCTGGCTCTCTAAACCCGCTACACGGGGTATAAGTGCTGTCCTAAAGGGCTCATAAAATTGCCTGATTTTTTTGAAACATATATTTTAGAATTCCATCTTGTAGGCTATTTATTTGCAAAAAACTATTGTAGCTATTTCCTCTTTTATATTAAGAAAAAAAAACCTCTTAATAGTTCTATATGAATACCAGTTTAGTTCGAATACCAGTTTGGTTCGCTCCCTCCCCTCACACCCTCTTATGGGTTATTCATATTCACTGTACCTTAAAATTTGCTTCTCAATAAACATTTATTTTCTTTTCTTTTTGCCAGCTGTGAATTCTAATGTGTCAGTGTTCACCTTTTCAAAAAGGCATAGAATAACTATTAGTACAACATAAAAGACTACTTAAATATAATCCACAGCATTTTTATTTTAAAAAAAAAATCAATTTATCACTTGAGATTTTTTTTCTTCCTAAAATTACATGAAAAAGGTAACATGGTAAAGGGGCACCATTTTTTAATAGCTTAAGTAACAAATTATTTTGGTCCTCTCAGCTTGGCAAATTGACTCTTTCTGCTCCACAGCCCTGTGATGACTAATTAATTATATCCAGCACAACTCTATTAGGCCTGACTTGCGCAAGTCACTGATGCACGTACTCCAAGACAGTCCCTGCAAAAGCTCACGACGCTAAAGAACAGCAAACCAATGCTACACTGGTGCTGCTAGTCTTGATGGCCTTAAATTTCCTTTGAAACTTGAAAAAACTTGATTCTGCTTAAGAATGTAGGTAACAGAACCTCCAAAGTATATTTTAAAAGGACTCTCATAAAAATTGACTCATGATTTGAACCCCATTGTTCAGAATTCCTAAGTATATTTCCTCATTTCTATGCAGCTATTAATAGTAAAACACATAATCTATTTATTAACTTTATAAAAACACCACCACAAAAAATGTACAGGTTGGTAATAATATTTACAGGGTTCTAAAAACATTAAAATATGAAAAAGACACTTTGCAGTTAGAAGGCCTAGACTGTTATATTTAGGAAATTCACATATACTAAGAAAGCCTGGTATAATCAACAAAGTCTATTATACTCAATAAAACAGTTGACCGTTGAACAATGTGAGGGTTAGCACAGTTGAAAATTCACATATAACTTCTGACTTCTCCAAAATTTAACTATACCAGTTGTCCCCTGGAATCCACGGGGGATTCGTTCCAGAACATCCCTCAGAAGCAGATACCAAAATCCAGATGTTCAAGTCCCTTACATAAAATGGTGTAGATCGATGCAAACAGTCGGCCCTCTGCAGCGACAGACTCCCAATTATGAATCAAAAATGGTACAGGCATTTATTGAAAAAGATCCACATAGAAATGGACCTGTGCAGTTCAAGCGTATGTTGTTCAAGGGTTAATTGTATTTTTAAAAGCTTTGAAAAGCATCTCTTTATCCGAAACTTGATGTGCTAATATGACCTTATCCAATTTATAGCCCCCTGGAGATTAGGCCTTATTAGTTTCTTTTTAAGTAACAAAATACATTACATTCTTTTCTGTGACATTTTGTTCACGGGGATAAATATGTTTTTATCAATGAATAATTTCACACAACGAATGGTCAGGTTCAATGATTCCCTAATAGTCACCAGGATCCTGGGACTGCGTAAGATTCTAAAGTAACTTAGGTTCTCTCTGAGCCTCATTTTCCTCTGTTATTAAAAATGGATAACAGATGCTTTCATTTAAGTGTACATGGCAGGGTCTTAATAATCATCCAGAGCTATACAGATGTAACTTGGTGGTATCATCATTCTCTCTTATAAGTAAGGAAGCATAAAATCTACACAGAGAGAATATACAGATAAGCATTTAAATTTTACAGCCATTTAGAGAAAACTAAGTCAGAAATAGTATAACAAAACACTACAGATTGACATTCCAGAAGACCCAACTGATCTGACCACACCGGAAAAAGGAATTAAGCAAGTATTTTGATTTCCCTAAACCTCCCAGTGGATAATATGTACTTTGAAAGTAAAGGAAAACACGGCACAATGATGTCTTCATTCATCATAAGCACTTTTCAGGCAACATATTCTGAAGTCTTTACTGAATGGAGCACTCCTACTAGTTGAAAAGGGGAGTGATTCAAGTCAAACAATTTCCTACTGATTTAATTACACAATTATACTTTCCAATTTGACCCCATGTAAAGCTCTCAGTTATGTGCATGCTAAATTATGGAAAGTGTACAGACTGAGTGAGCATTTGCAGGGTGCCAATGTTGTAAAAGTTAAATTTGGGGTCCCCTTCCTTACATGGATGAGGACTCAATTATTTGTGGTTTTCTCAACTGAGAATGTCAAAGGTACTCAAACCTAATTTTTATTTTACTGTGGAAAATAACTTAATAGCATAAAGCGAAGCCACTGGACTAAAAGAAACACTTAAAAATAACAAGAATGTACTGATAGACAGGCAAATGATTAAGCAAATAAAACAAAATATGCACTGTAGATTCTAAATGGTGGGCATATGGGTACTAAGTATATAATGGCTTCAACTTTTCTGCATGTTTGAAAATTTTCATAGTAAAGGGCTGGGGGGAAATAATCAAAGTTGTAATCATAATAAAGGAGACAGCAGGCCCCACTGGGAAAAACTCAGCCTGGAAGAAAACTGGTTCTTAGCCTAACCCCAGGAACTCAGAGTTTAAAACTGGAAGGGGCCTTGAGAATCCTTTGAGGCAGGTAAATACAAGGTTTCATGGCTTTTTGAAAAAATAGAAAAATTACAGCAATATCATAGCATTTTCAAAAGACAAAAATCTTTTTTGCTGACTTGTATGCCTCTACACTTCTGGTTTTAACATTGGTGACAATAGGTATGGATTTGGTTTTTTATATTCCGATTTAGCAGTTAAATCTGATCACCCTTAATATCTGATTTCTTCATCTTTTACCTTTGATGTGTAAGTCCTTGACCCGCCTTCAGTAAGAATTCTCCTACCTTTGATGTCTTCTCTTAGTAATTTTCCATCTACTGACTTCCTCACTCTGCTCATTGGCTGTAAATTCCCAGCCATCTTTGCTGTATTTGAGTTGAGTCTGATCTCTCTCTCATTACAACGCCCCTATTGCAATGGTCTTGAATAAAGTCTTTCTTATCATTTTAACAAGTGTCAGAATAATTTTTTCTTTACTCATACCTCTGTACAGGTACAGAGAACCTGGCAGCTAATGACGATGCTTGCTGGAAAGAATAGTTTGCTTCTCTAGAGTGGATTAGAGATTCTAAATACTGAGATTTATACTTGCTCATAAGCACAGAGACATTAACACACACACACACACCCCAGTGCTGGTCTCCATTAACCTTAATAGTCTATGATTTCATTTTAATTTTAAAGAGTGACATTAAAGGGAGAAAGATTATGCAATAAAATTTTCTTGAGAATGATTATTATATTATATTATGGACCCAGCATGGGACCAATGCCTAACTCATAACATAATGCAATGATTTTGCTGGTTGAATGAGAGAAGTAATGAAAACAAATGAATGATGTTTATTTCTTTAAAGATAACAGCATAAATTCAAGAGGAAATAAATATCAATCCTTTGTTCAAATTAGGCAAATCAGAGAAAACTATAAAGGCGTTTGAGTTTTTAATTTCTACCAAACATCAATAATTAACGATAAGTTCCTTTAAAATAATGTCTCCTTCCTTCTTAAACTCTTCTAAAAAAAAAAAAGAAGAAGAAGACGAGGAAAGAATACTTCCAAATTCATTTAATGAAGTCAGCATTATCCGGATACAAAAACCAGACAAGGACACAAGAAGAAAACTACAGACCACCATCCCTGATGAAAATACATGCAAAACTCAAGAAAATATTAGCTAACTAAATTCAACGATACGTTACAAGAATCATATACCATGATTAAGTAGGATTTATTCCAAGGATGCAAAGGTGGTTCAACATACACAAATCAATGTGATATACCACATCAATGAAGGATAAAAATTATGTAATCATCTTAATATATGCAGAAAAAGCATTTGACAAAATTCAACATCCATTATTGATAAAAATTTTCAACAAAGTGGTACAGAGGAAATGTACCTCAACATAATAAAGGCCTTATATGTCAAGCCCACAGCTAACATCATACTCACTGGTAAAAAGGTAAAAGCTTTTCCTCTAAGATGAAGGAACAAAATAAGTATACCTAACTCTCTGAACTTTTATTCAACATAATACTGAAAGAACTGGCCAGAGCAATTAGGTAAGAAAAAGAAATAAAAGGCATCCCAATCAGAAAGGAAGATGTAAAAATGATCACTATTTGCAGATGACATGGTATGTATATCACAAACCCTAAAGACGCCATGAAAACTGTTAGAAATAATAAATTCAGTAAAGTTGCAGGATATAAAATAGATATACAAAAATTAGTTGTGTTTCTATACTCTAATAATGAACTATCATAAAGAGAAATTAAACAGGAAATAATTTAACCAAGTAAGTGAAAGACCTATACACTGAAAACTATGAAACACTGCTGAAAGAAATTGAAGACACAAATAAATAAAAGATATTCCATGCTCATAAAGCGAAAAAATGTTGTTAATGTGTCCATACTACCCAAAATGATACACAGATTCAATGAAATTCCTATCAAAATTCCAATAGTGTTTTTCACAGATGTAGAATAAACAATCCTAAAATTTGTATGGAACTACAAAGACCTCTAATAGCCAATCTTGAGATAAAAGAACAAAGCTGGAGGCATCACATTTCCTGATTTCAAATTATATTACAAAGCTATAGTAATTAAAAGTTATTGGCACAAAAACAAACATACTGATCAATGGAACAGAATAGAGAACCCAGAAATAAACCCACATATATATATTGTTAATTAATTTACAGCAAAGAAGCCAAGAATATACACTGGGGAAAGGTCAATTTCTTCAAGAAGCGGTATTGGGAAAACTGAACAGCCACATGCAAGAATGAAATTGGACCACTATCTAACACCATATACAAAAATTAACTTGAAATAAAGAGTTTAACATGAGACCTCAAACCATAAAATTCCTAGAAGAAAACATAAGCGGTAAGCTCCTTGACATTAGTCTTAGAGATGATTTTTTGGATTTGTCACCAAAGGAAAGGCAACAAAAGCAAAAATAAACAAGTGGGACTGCATCAAATAAAAAAGCCCCTGCACAACAAAAGAAACTCTTAACAAAATGAAAAGGCAACATACTAAAAAGAAGAGAATATCTGCAAATTATGTATCTGATAAGAGGTTGATATCCAAAATATAAAAGAACCCATACAATTCAAAAGCAAAAAGACGATCTGATTTTTAAAACAGGCAAGAATATGGACATTTTTCCAAAGAAGACATACAGACACCCAACAGGTACATAAAAAAGGTGCTCCACATCACCAATAATCAGGAAAATGCAACTGCAAACCACAATGAGATATCACTTCACACCTGGTAGAATAGCTATTAAAAAGACAAGAGGTAATAAGTACTGGTGAGAATGTGGAAAAAGGGAAACCGTTGTGCACTGTTGGTGGAGATGTAAATTGGTGCAGCAACTATGAAAAACCATATTGGAGGCTTTTCGAAAAATTAAAAATAGTACTACCACATAATCCAGCAATTCCACGTCTAGGTATTTAGCCAAAGAAAATGAAAACATTGAATCAAAAAGACATCTGCATCCCTGTTTTCAATGCAACATTATTTACAATAGCCAAGATATGGAAACAGCCTAAGTATCCATTGACGGATGAATGGATAAAGAAAATGTGGTATGTATGTTTATTATGTATAATAAATTATTATTCAACCATAAAAAAGAAGGATATCCTGCCACTTGGGATAACATGGATGGACCTTGAGGGCATTATGCTAAGTGAAAAAAGTCAGAGAAAGACAAATACCATCCTAAAAAACAACAAAACCAAACTCATGCAGAGAACAGATTGCTGGTTATGGGGAAAGGGAGGATGTGGAGGTGGAGGCAAAAATGGGTGAAGGGCGTCAAAAGGTATAAACTTCCAGTTATAAGATAAATATGTCTTGGGGATATTTTGTATAGCATGGTGACTACAGTTAAGAATCCTAAATTGCATATTTGAAAGCTGCTCAGAGTAAATCTTAAAAGTGTCATCATAAGAAAAAAAATTTGTAACTATATATGGTGATGGGTATTAACTAGACTTATTATGGTAATTATTTCACAATATATGTATATATAGAATCATGTTGTATATCTGAAACTAATTTATATATCGATTATATCTCTAAAAATTCTCTTCAATAATATATTTTTAGAAAACAATTCTAGTATGCAGTATTAAGTTATCGATTGGTATTGCTGTAAAGATAATATGTGGTAAGGCAATATGAGAGATGACGTCTCCCTAACTGTGGCTAAAACACAGGATAATAAACACAAACCTTGAGAATGGTTAAATTCTGTCTCAAACTCCACTAGTATTTGAAGGAAGTTGATGTATTTTCCTAAGAAAAAGGACAGCCCAGGAACTCCACCCTAGAAGGGGTAACTTTCTTAAAATGTTAAATTTGAAAAATGGAGGAGAGCTTAGCTACCCGCTTTGAAATAGGAAAATTAATACCTTCTTCAGGTTACCAGAAAAGTATGAGAAATATTTTAGACTACTTTGGACTTTCGAGTCATCTGCAAATAAGGGCTATGGAGAACTCTGTGAAATAAAACAGCCCCTAACACACACATTTCTTTTTAATCCTTACACAACAAGAAGTAGAGAACTTGGAGGTTCTTCAGTTGCAAAAGTCAAACAGGAAGTACCCAAACAGGAGCTCTGCTAAGCAGTGTAAGAAGGGCGGCTGGGTCAGAGATTAGAAGGAAAAAAGAAAGACCAGGGAATTTCTGAGCTTTGAGGTAAGAGAAAACTACTAGTTGCTCTGTCAACACCACTGCACAGGCAAGTAATGCAATTTATTGGTAACTGCTAATTACTGCCAATGACCGGAGAGACAAAACAGCCTATAGATTCCAAAACAAATCCAAATATTTATGGGCTGTTTGCAGGATTTAAATAATGTAATTTCATCCAAAATTTCACAATTTGAACTTTGTGAGACACAAAGAACTTATGTAATGCATTTAACAGAAACTCTCAAGGTAACTTTTGTTGGTATCCATGTCCAGGAATCTTTTATAAGAAAGGTACTAGGAAAGAAAAAAAAAATTGCATAGTTATAGCTATAACCTAAGTAAAATTAACCTATAATTATCACTTATTTTTTCTGTACAAGCAAAGAAATTTATTACTGATTAAAAACGTGAATACGATCCTTTCACATACAGAGCACTACACATTCTTTGGCATTCTCTACTGCTACAGTTTCAAGCACAAACACCATATCCACTTGTACCTCTAAATCCAACTAACCATCAACAAGAGAAAGGTTAGGCAAACAGGTCAAGAAGAAAAAAAGTCAAAATGGGCTCCTAAACCATGAAAAACTGAACCAACTTCCAGGTCCCTGAAGCACAGAGACTACTTGGTGGTATTTAAATTTGTGGAGAGAGAAAGGAAGTACCTGACCAGTCAGGTCTCGGTCAGACTGTGGCTTCCCATGGGCTCTCTCTGAGCAGATCAAATAGGCTGTCAGTGATCTCAAAGCCAAAAAAAAAATAAAACCTGCTGATGCAAGTTTTTGGAAAGATTCTAGCTCTGTGATGTTATCTGTAACTGCAGTGCTTTACAGAGCTTTACAACCAACCTAGCATATAGCCCTTAATCAAGCGGCTAACCTTTTCAGCCACAATAGGAAGCTTTCTGAGGAGCCAGGAAATTCCACCCAGTCTAATGCCAGTAAACACTGATATAATAAATGAAGGTCTTCAGTTTCTGGATCTCCAAATCTCACAGGGACTGCTTAAGCTAATTCCCTTGTACTATAACCTAGAGTGCCTCTTCTTGAAAGGGATTACCAATAAGTGGCAAACGATATCTATTTCTCAATTTTTCTACCATCCAAAAGGTCATCAACACTAACCAGAGCTCAACTCACCTCTAATGCCTCACTCACTCACCAAGTGATGCCAATTCTTCAACCCCAGAAAAGCTTAGAAAGTAGCTCACTTTCTAGAAAGGTAAGCAAACCACTGCTAACTCAAGCCTTGACTCATTAGCATCTCTCTTATCCCCACTCTGAGCAATAATCTTTCTACCAATCCTCAAGCACCTTCTAGAACAAAGATAATTCCTCCTCCAAGTACATCCTGTAGCAAAGGGTAATGTTACTGGTAGCAGCCTCTGACCATAGTCACAGTTCTTACTTGTCTATCTCTCCCCTTCCTTATTTCAGCCATTTTGATCATTCAAGATATATTTTTGCAGGAAGATAAATTATAGTTTAAGGTTTGAGGAAGTGGTACAGTACAACTTCTAACAGAGAGGCGGTAAGATGATGTTAGTGGTTAATCATGAGTACAGATGGATGCACCATAATTTCATACACTGTAAGGAGACAGTTTGTTGTTATGGCCTCCAGAGTCAGACTGCTTGGGTTCAAATACAGGCTCTGTAAAGGTAGTATGACTCTGGGGAAGTTGCTTAACTATTCCTTGCCTTTGTATCTTCATCTATAAAATGCAAATGTTAGTGCCTCCCTTATTGGGTTGGGAGAATTAAATGATTATGATACAAACTTGGAAGCAGTGTAAGCATTAAACAGTACGCACTATGTTACTAGCTATTATTAGCACGATGTATACATTTTGAAAGAATGAGGTAATTCTATATGTATTGACTTGGAATAAAGTCCATGACACAGTGTTCTGTGAAAACATTAGAGAATAACATGCTTAGTATGAGTCTATTTGGGGAAGGAAAAAAAGGCGTGACATATATTTATAGGTGCATCCAAAGAGGTCTAGAAAGGCACACATACTAAACATTCAACTGTCATCGCCCTTAGGGAGTGAGGGGTTAGGGGAAGGAGCTTACATTTGTAAACAGGTCTTAGCTTGAATTAACAAATATGTACTACTTTTATAACTACTTTAAAAATTAAACATTTTACAGTGAGCTCACCTTCAAGTTGAACATCTCTCATGTCCTGATCTAGGAAAAGATAAGCTTCTTAGAGATAAGGAAACTGAGGCCCAGCTAGGAGAAAGTAGAGCCCTCTGGGTACTGTCTCCTGCGTATCTCATCTCTGATTATCTTACTCTTTTCAACCCTTGGCACATCATGTGCCTGCCACAGGATCTAAACATTCTGAAACTGGTGGTGTTTTTCCCCTTTTCTTCCTGCTTATCTGAGGTACTGCTTTTAATAGTGCCCAAGAAGCTTCCCCATTCCGTGTTTTAACATCCTCCTTCCTACCTCTCATAACTTTCTCATCATTTCCTGCTTGTCTTTTCTGCCCCTCGAACAGGTGCGTTTGCCCTGGAGAATCCATTCGAGCGACAATCGGGCTCCACACATTCAGGTTTGGGGCAGAGACAGGGGCCACATCCACATAATTGCAGGATGGAGTATGCCTCTACATTGCTTTTTGTCTTGAAAAGGGTTCAAATGACTTTTAAACATTTTTTTCTTATTTCAGTCAAGAAACAGTGCTTGATATGTTTTGGCAGACACTTTTTTCCTCCTTTATGTCTTTCCTTATTACAAAGGTGTTTATTTTTGCTTTAGCTTTCTCCGGGAAGTTACAAAGCTGTTTTGTAACTCCCCACCCCCAATGATCCCTACCATGCTTATCCTTTATTATATGTTGGCATTGTTTTAGCACCCATCACTTGCACTTCTCACATCATTATCTTTTATACTCCAGCCATCTATTTCCATTTATACACATTTTCTATTTCAGCCCGTGGAGAAACGGTTATATGATTAAAAGAGAAGGAAAAGAATTCGATATTCCAGCCAGAGCATCTTCCAGGCCACCTCTCGCATCGGAACCCGGAGCGTCGAGAATCATACCCGCCGGGGGGTATCCGGGCCACCAGAAAAGGGTCAGCATCAAAAGAAAAGGGGGGAGGAAAGCAAGCATCGGGAGAGCTGATTGGTTACTGAATGAACCAATCAGCTGGCGAAGCTTGCACGGGTAGGGGAGGGCCAAGATTACAGAGCAGACTGAGTTAAAGGAAAAGGGGCAGGTGGGCCAGGCATCAGGGTTTTACGTGCACTTTTGCACCCACCGAGTCACTATTAACCTCAGAACTCCGGTCTCTTATATGACACTTTCTGAGTTTCCCAGTTTCATAATGCTGAATAGGGGGAGAAACATTATTTAACCTACCATTCATGAGATGGTCATCAATAGTCAATGGAGAAGTAGCCGTAGAGTGGGACAGAGGCCATTAAAATCCTCCCTCTCTCCTTTCTGAGTTCTACTCCAGGTCGTCAACCTAACTTATTCGGTTCTTGAAATAGTAAATCACTCAAACGCTCACTTAATCGCCAAAGCTGATTACCAAAACGCTATCATTAAACACCCGGAATAAGTTTACCCCTGCCCAAGGACTCAGAGAGACAGTATTGGCATTTAACGAACGCGCAGGGTTTTACTACTACCTGCTAAAGGAGAAGAGAATGAGCTCTTCGGCTAAAGTGCGAGAAACATACCTTCTGAAATGTGCACCACGCAAGCCAACGCGACCGCCTCCAGGTCTCGGACACCGCCCCTCCCGCTCCCCTGCCCCCACTCCTACCCCCGGGCAGGGACCGCTCCTTCAGGTTCTACCCCACAAACTTCAGGCACAGGCACAAAGATTTGGGGAGGGGGAGGGGTGGGCGCACAGATACCAGATTTCCCTTCTGTGTTTCAAACTTCAGCAGAACTGTTCTACGCACTTTCTTCCAAGTGTCAGAGCTCCAGAACCACAGACCCGTCCAACCTTAGCTTTCCCACGGTCCTGCACCCACCCATACCTGGGCTAGAGACGCCGCGTCCGTGGGGTTGGGGGAAGGGGGAGTGGGAGAAGACAGAAAGGGCCAGTGTAAGTTAAGAGGTACCCGCCGAGGCCTGGACGCTGGCGGCCTGAGAGCCCTGAAGCCGAGGAACAAGGAGAGAGGAGGGCTGGACCCGTGCGGGAAAGGGCCGCGAGGCGAGCGGGGGCGCCGCCGGTGTTGCTGCACTCACTCTGCGTAGCCAGTGGCCCAGGGCAGCCGCCGGGTCTCCTTGAGGATGAGAATGGGGCGAGCGATGTGGTCGGCGCTGCACTCCACCTCGTCCTGAGACAGCCCCAGGAACTCGGGTCGCCCGTAGGGGAAACGCAGGGGCAGGTCCGAGCCTCCGCAACCGCCGCCGCCGTGCTCGGAGCCGGAGCTGCCAGCCATGATGCCGCCCATGAAATTGGCCACGGCAGATTTCACTCGAGTGAGCATATTACTCCGGCGCCCTGCAGCAGCGTTGCGAGCAGGAGGCGGCGGCGGGGGCACCGGTGGGCGCAGCGCGGGGCATGCAGGCTGCGGCGGGCGCCGGGCGCACGAGCAGCCGGGCTGCTGGGACGCGCCCCGCGGCTCCCGGAGCCTAGTGCTGCAGGGGGCCGAGCCCCGGCCTCCCGTGCTCGGTGCCGCCGCCGCCTTCCCCCGCTACACTTCCGCAACGGGGAGGCATGGAGGAGGTCGGCCGGACAGGGGGAGACGCTGCGCGCTCCGGGAGCCGCAGCTGCAGCAGATCCCTTCCCGCCCGCTGCGCTGGACTCCTGCGTGAGCGGAACTGAGACCACCAGGCGAGCCCGCGGAGCCCGCGCGGCTGCTGCCACGGCTACTGCCGCCGTCGAGTCATGTGATAATCAGGCTGCAAGGGCTCTAGCTGCTGCTGTGGCCAGTGCTCAGCCCCTCCCCTGCCGGCTCAAGCAAGGCTCGCACCAGAATCGTGACCTCCTGGGGGAGGGGGAGCCAGGCCGGGTCGGTACCTGGCGCAGGGGATGGGGGCGCTGTGAGCTGGAGTCCGTACAGGTGCTAGGGGACGTCACGTGGAGCCACGCAACCGGGAAAAGCCAGTTGAGGAATCCTCTCTCGGAGGAATGCACCCTACGCCTTTGGGAAAGGAAACTTGATGAGCCCGATGGGCAAGAGGAGACAGGTGGAATCCTGGTCAAAGACAGGCTCCAAGTCCTGCAGTGTAAATGAAGAACACCTGGTGTACAGACTTTTCAGAGCTTTTAAAAAAAACCTACAGTGGTTGCACAAGAATCATTAAAGTTTTTCCCTAGACATTTATAGAATTACTATTCATTTTCTTTCATTATTACCACACTCATCATTATCTGTGAAGCAAACCCTCTTTCAAACCCAGAATGAGCTTAATGGCGAAGAAAACAAAAGAGCTCTAAGAAATCAGAAGCAAGAACTGTTTTATCTAATACGTCACTGCTTAATAAATTTAAACAAGCGTTTTCCTCCAACATAGCAACAAAAATATCTCTTCAAAGCTGACCCTATTTACCATTGAGACACTTAATGTAGCCTTTTCTTACTTCGAAATGTTGTTACGAAATTATCTAAGGGCCCTTTAAAACTGAAGTAATTTAAATAGAACATAGAAACTCAAATGCTAAAGTAATATGAATAAATGTTTGCAATGATACAATTTTTTGGTGTTCTTGTATTAAAACAAAAATGTTTGTAAAAAAAAAAGCGATGAATGTTCTTCATTAAGGGTAATTATTTGTTAAGTATTGCCTTAATTTTTTTTTTTCTTTTTGCAAGGGAGCTGTATCCTGTTCGTGTTTACTTATTCTGTATCCTGTTTCTATGTTTACCTATCGTTTCATTTGCCAGGATTCTGTATTACTTGTGGAGTTACACACTGACGGCTCACTTGGAGTTCAAGAGGAAATACAGGCTGTCCTTCTCAGGGGGTGGGAAAGAGGAAAGCCGCCCACGTGTTGGAGGGGAGAGGAATTGGAATCCTTGCTCTTAGGGGATGCTTTGATGAACATCATTGATCCCTTTTTATCAGTATCTATACTATTTTGGGGGGCATTTTTCTGTTTGCCTTTTTCATGAATAGGTACTCGGGTTTACTATATACCAAATAATTATGTTAAAAAAAATTTTCAACCTTTAGTGAAATAGCATTCCTGTCAATAAGTTCTTATATTACTTTTACCAGAACGGAAATGTAATTTTAGCTTGGCCCCTTTCTCCAATTTTAAAATTTGGGACAGGATTCTAAATGATACAAAATCTAAATGAGCAAAAACGGTCTTCTCAACTTTTGTTTTGTTAAACTGTAAAGTCCTTCCAATGGGAAATCTCTATGTAATGGCTAAACATCCAACCAAACACTTGCTCTGGTTTCCGTTGAGTCTCATATGCACTTAGAGTCCCTTTCCTAAGCTTTCCTTGTAGAATAATTACCTTTTAACCATGTCCTCTGGATACCTCAGTAACTAACCTCTATTGAGATGAATTTAATATGTTCTTCCCTTCATTTCACTTATGGCAGGCTTTAATATTTACTAGAAATGGGATTTTAAAAAATTTCCTGTCTGATTTATTTTCAATTTAAAGGCAGTACCTGATTATGGTCAATAAATAAATAAAATCTAATAGCACAGAACTGTAAATGAGAAAGTAAAAGACTCCAAAACATTTCCCCAGGGAACTGCCACTGTTAATATTTTTCTGTAGGTTTCCACATTTTTTCTCAAATAGGATATTGGGCATAATTAAGTTCGGTAATATTATCCAGATTTGTGAACCAGTGCTTTGTAAGAAGTAATTCTACTGTTGCTCTGTGAACTAATTATTATCTGTTATGAGAAAATGTTGGTATATCTTTAGCTTTGCACAGCAAACTTTGTTCTACCAACAGTGGGTAAACAGGAATTACATGACTGTCCTCCTTTGAATGTTTCTAGGGTATAAGTGTTCACAGCTAACTAATAAATCTTTTATTTTTATACCCACCTCTAACGTCAGTGTCTCATCCCAGGACTTTCCAAAGAAATATTTTCTATGAAATTTATTCCTCAACTATGTCATTCATGAAGATCAGTACTTCAGAGGGGGAGGTAATCCTGATTAAAATGGGGCAGTCATCCCTGACAGGGCAGCCCCTGAAAAAAGTGCCTTTCATGTCTATTATGGATGCAAATTTGGGAATATCTGCTTCCAGTTTTAGGATTAGTGCTTCCTTAAATTCAAATGGACTACTAATCAGAAATGGAGAGGCCCTCAATGTGTTTGTTACATACCATTTGTATGCCCCAGTCATCAATAGGTACACTTCATTTTTGTCTCTTTGTGTTCTCTTCCTCCCTGGAAAATGTGGGTTTGAAGACTTTAGTAGAAAATTAATTTACAGGTTAGATACATGAATGTATCTAAGTCTGGATGTTCTTCATATAAACTTATCTCATTTCTGAAGCTATAATACTATGGTTTTGACTATTCAATGACTATGCTATTAATACTCTATTTAAAAAAAAGGTCCGGATGACAAAACATCATGGATTCCCAGCCCCCAAATATTTATTAATTACAAAAGGAAAAGCAATAACTTACAGTGGAAAAACCTGGCAGACATCACCGAAAACAAGTGACTAAAATTAACATCCCAGTAGTGAGGAATAGTAACATTCAGAATCCCCTGACATCATGCATTGAAAAGGGCACATCCCTTCAGTGATATTCTTCCCTAAATCCCTAGTTTAATCAAGAGAAAACATGAGTCAAAAACAAATGGAGGATATTTTACAAAATACCTGACCAGGCATGTTCAAAAGCATCAAGGTCTCGAAAGACAGTAGGAAAATCTGAGGAACTGTCACACTGGGGGCAAAAAAGACACAAACTACTAAAATGCTGTACCAATGTTAATTTTTTAGTTTTGAAATCAGCATTTGGGGAAGCTCGATGAAGGATATGAAGGAACAAAATATTTTTTTAAAAATCCAGGTCATTTTTGGTTCCAGTAGATAGCAAATTCTCATTTGGAAGTCAAGCCAGGAGAAAGATGAATAATGCCTTTCCAGGACTCATCCCTCTCACAGCTGCAGATTCATGCCTTCATTATGGTGCTAATCTCCTTGTTTTGTAACTAGCAGTTTCCTATATCCTCCCATTAGACAGTGAAATCCTAAGGCAAGAACATTCTTATCTTTGTATTTTCAGCACCTAGCCTAATGCTTAATGAGTAATAGAGTTCAGTGCTAAATTAATTCTTAAAAATTCCATTCAGAGAAAAAACAATATAAATTATTTGAATGACCAAACCTGTTATATTTATACCCTCTGTTTTCTTTAAAATCCTTCTCACCCTTAAACCTTAAGATCTGTCTTACCTATAAGCAGAACTTCCTTAACCTGTGACATCTAATAAGACAAGGCTTAGCTAACTGCAGTCAATATTCGGATTGGTAATAATATGGGTATCATGTGGGTCTCTGCTTCACACCATACCATTAATCTGATGCACATCATAACCAGGATATGACATTAAAATAGCTAACTAACTTGTTTTTGCTTCAGAAATAGTTTAGATTCTGTTTTCACATATAGTAATGTACTGGCTGAAAAATCCCTGATTCATTGCAAAGAAATTATGTATTTCTCCACAGTAAACAAAACTATTTGTTTATAAAGAACTTCTTTAAGAGCCAAGAGATTTGCAACTAATTTTTCAGTACAGAGTTATAGAGCATTAGCATATTTTACATCCATTAAATTATAAAATTCCCTAAATTATAAATACTTCATTTTGGAATGACTGGCACATTCAACCAATGGATTATACCTATGACTTTCCCACTGACCACCTTCTGTAGGCTATTCTATCCTGTGCCCACATTGTCTTGGCCTGAAACCACTGCTTTGTAACTGAGATAGGAATTGTATAAACTTGAATCTCTTACATATAATTCCTGGTCCCATGTTACCTACTTTAGATTAGAATTTGAAATGTGCTGAATATCAGAATACTTACGTATAAAAAGGGAAAAAAAACCAATCATTACAATTTCATAGGGTAGTTGCAAAGATCATCAAGATAATAGTTGTAAATGTGATAAAACTAACAGCCCAGAATTATCACTCTTCTCTAGTTAAATCTATTTTTTCCTTAGGGACTAATTTTTAATATTAAAATTTTAAACCATTTTCTTTTTCTATTCTTCACTAGAACAATAAAAATAGCAATACCTACCTCATAAGATTATTTTGATGATTAAATGGAATAACATGACTATTACTAGTATTCTAACTGGTACAGAATGTGTGGTTAATAAATATGTAATACATATTATAATACTGACAGCACCTGCACTGTGAGGGAAGGAGGGTTTACATACATTGCTCCAATGCTCTTAACCAACACTACAAGTGAAACTTTGTTTCTAATGCTCTTAATCAACACTACCAATTTATTACCGAGGAAAGGGAAGTCAGAAGAAGGTAAATGACTTGCTCAAGGGCACACAGCTAGTAATGAAGCAGTCCCCACTCCCACTAGGGGCTTTTTAAAATATCCCATCAGAAAGAAAGTTTACATTACAAAAGGGTTTTTTCTACCTTTTCCAAGTAAAGAGCTATTTTAATTATCTTGAAGATATTGTAAATTTTCTATGGATTTGGAAATAGCCTGAGGATATTTTCTATGGATTTGGAAACAGTTCCTTAGCAACCTTAGAGTATGTACAATAATGTCATTTGGAAATTGTTCGAAATTCCAAACAAATTACTTCCCAGTAAGGTTTTCAGATAGAACTTATTCTAAGTTGGGAGCTGCCTGGGTCATACTAAATTTGCGTGAAAATTCTAAATTCTATTTAACTGAAAATATTTTCATGCCTTGCCATGTTAACTTCTC